TATTTAGAATAAAGCCAATACATAAACTTCCTTTCCGTATAGACGTATTTACGTCAAATTCTCCGGAACCGTCGTTCCACTGTCACTTTTTTTCAACCACTCTGTCCAGACGTAAATTCGGACAACCCAGAGGCCATTCTTTCCAAGGGGGTAATAAAAATGGTTACTTTCTAAGTAACAACTGAAAAGTAAATCGATATGTAATATTATGACATGGCGGGTGCGTTCGCGCATGCTCCGCCAACACTTGTGTGGAAACTTCGTCAGGATGTTGGTGACAGTACTGACGCAGATGGCGGTCTGTGCCCACAGCAGTGTTGCCAACTCCACATATAACACACTGCAATGTGTAAATTATCTATGCACTTCCTCTCAGCCGTCATCCTCCATTTCGGACAGTCACTAATGCAACCGAAACGCTTTAAAGCCACTGAAATTTTCATCCAGAGGAAGGACTGTGGCGTGTCCAAGTTACAGCTGGAATGAAGGATCTAGGATCGAGAGACGATCACGTAACAGCAGAACAGATACATGATCCGGCTTCTTCTTTGCTGGTTCGTTAACGATATCTCATGTCACTCTCATCTACTTACAAATTTGACAGCAAATTAAAACTCATACTTACAATAAACAAGTTTCCTAAATCAAGTCAAGCGTTCAAAGACACGGCCTGGGCGTGTTTTTGCTGAGTATATATTAAAATTACGTAGGGCTCCAAGCTTTTTACTCGTTGATAGAGACTTCCCAGGAGAAATTCCGTAAATTTTATAAGGATTTGTTGTTTGGCCGTGCCTTAGGCGAGGCCCGAGATCTACCTCAGACCCTGCACATGGCTGGACCACCTCAAATTACCTCTGTTGTCTCTCGTATCGAGTTCGTCAGCTCAATTAGTATTTCACTTTAACGCTGGAATCTTTTGCTGTAATGCAAATACAGGTAGTAACTAGATTAAATTATACAGTGGTTGGGGGGTGGAAGGGGGAGGGCGGGTGGTTCTTCAGCATTCTGTAAAGATAAGAGACGTGTTGTTGCTACGCAACCGGTAGAATAAAGAAGTGTAATGGGGTTACAGTAGCGCACACCACGTCACACGTCTTCTAAGGTACAAAAAACATCCTCAACATCAGATTGATTCTTGCATAAAGTTCGCAGAGACGCAACAACTTCATTAACCACTTCTATGCTACGAGCGAGATATCACGATTAAAATCACAGGCTCTTCTGCTGTTTCGGAGTACCAGTGAAGGCGACGCTGTACTCTGCTGACCCCCCCCTCCCCTCCCCACCTACATTGGAGCAGCAACTTTCAGTTTATTCCCAGTTATTGCGTTCCACGATAAATAATCTGCTTTCTTTTGTTCGTTTGTGTGTACGTTTCTTTCAGCAGATAGCAGCACTGAGTCTGTAATCAGGAACCAACATCCCCTGCTCCACGTCCGGTACCGTCAATGGCTATGGCCTTTCATCTTGGCGTTAAAACAGCTACGTCACAGCCAGAAGGGCGCAAGTCTCAGTAACACTCGAGCTCCTCTCTGGCACACAAAGCGCTTCTACCAGTTTCTGACTGACACGAAGACGTCTGGACAGGGTCGATGTTTGATAGCTCGCGTTCTTTGAAAGACTCTATCAATTACGCTTCGCCTAAATGGATTACGGTAACACGGATGTCAGTGACTGAAGGCAGACGTGACCGTGGCCAACCTTAAGATACAATCCCTGAATTACGAGAAACCTGAGTACATCGAAGAAGCCCATAACCCCCACACCAGAAGTGGGTGTAATCTGTCAGAAGACGTGCGAATGGAACTGGACAACTTCCTGAAATCCGTCGTACTAACCTGCTCCCTCACAAATCTTGCACAAAGAACACACGAAGGGTACTGCGACTGCTAATTAGGCCGGACGCGATGTAAGTCTAAATGAAAATATTCACAGAGGCCTGCATGCGGCGATAGTCAACACGCATTCACAATCAGCTTCAGGATAAGAAGCACACAAGCGACATTCCGGTGCCTGCATTTTGTAGCCCGAATCCAGGGAAATTCCTCAAAACGCGATGACTCGACTCTTTTCCGGCTTAAAGAGAGAAACAAAGACTACAAGGAAGAGGAAACAATGGAAAGTGCCTACATCCAAGATCAGGAAGGGGATTACACGTCATCTGAGGACAGGCTTAGGACAGTGTCCAATGACGGTGTTGAATCTACGGGTCCTACCCTACAAACAGCAACCACTGGTATTTCCACTACAAATTAATGGCACGTTAATAACTTTATTTTTGAAGGGCGAATTCTTTTATCTAGTAAATCACAGGTTACTACACTGATTGGCTGCGTTTATACTTCACAGAAAAAACACAGCATCTCCATTACATCGGCCGGTAAGTTAAATGTGTAGGAAGCCGACAGCTGTTTTTAGCGCTAACGCAACCCAGTGACTGGTTGGAAACAGGTAGCACTTCAGGCTGCTTTTTAAAGGATTTATCTCAGAATCTTAACCCCTTGAGGCCGAAGCTCCTTTAAGAATTCAGTCCGTACCGCGAAGAAAACACCACACTTCACCATTACAAAGATCAACTGGTTAACGTTGTTTAAGGAAATAATCGCTGTTTACAGTGAGAATCATAGTTCGTCTAAATTACATTTAAGAATTCAGTCCGTACCGCGAAGAAAACACTACACTTCACCATTACAAAGATCGAATGGTTAACGCTGTTTAAGGAAATAATCGCTGTTTACAGTGAGAATCATAGTTCGTCTAAATATTATTTAAGAATTCAGCCCGTACCGCGAAGAAAACACTACACTTCACCATTACAAAGATCGAATGGTTAACGCTGTTTAAGGAAATAATCGCTGTTTACAGTGAGAATCATAGTTCGTCTAAATATTATTTAAGAATTCAGCCCGTACCGCGAAGAAAACACTACACTTCACCATTACAAAGATCAACTGGTTAACGCTGTTTAAGGAAAT